AGGAAGTAGAGGAGAGGAGAAAAGGGAGGGGCAAAGAAACACTGAGAAAGAGGTAGAAGGAGAGAGGGTACAGAATTGTTGTGACGCTGATGCAGCTTCATAGAGGATGGAAGAAGAGACCCCTGTGTACAACAGACACCAGTGACCCTGATGACTGAGACAAAGGACACACCCATGCCTTAATCGTTCCAGAAACTTCTCCCTGTATTTCAGATAACCATTTGTGACTGCAACCACTTCATGTTCACTTTTGCCTCTTTCAGGACATCCCTCTTTCACTTTTTCATTCTTTTCTAACAGTGCCTGAATACACTGTCATGCTCTCTTTTTCTTCCAACAACACTCAAATATGACCGACATTTTTTTCCTCCTAATTCAAAAGCATTGGCTACACACATACAACTTGGATGACACAAACTCACGCTCACACACACACACACACACACACACACACACACACACACACACACACACACACACGCACACACACACACACACACCTTGGCTCATCACAGCAGAGTGGTGCAGTGAGGCAGCAGTACCTATCTTCTCCTTACCTTGTCTTGCCAGAGAAGCAACAGAGCTTAAAAATTTTAATGGGCTTATAACTGGGATCAAGGTAAACCCATGTATGCTGCACACACACACACACACACACACACACACACACACACACACACACACACACACACACACACATGCACTCCATCTAAATGTTGAAATCATTAGTGGCAAAGAGCCAGTGCACTTCTACTCTTTGAAATGGAAACAATCTGTTTTAATTGCTTGCCTTGACTCAGCTAATACTGATAAGACATTTGCAGACAGCAGCAGAATGCAAACACAAATCCAAATCCACTTATTATATGACAAATATAATTGGAGCTCCAATTATAATAATATGTATAAGAGGAAACTATAATGCCATGTGGGTATTCAGTTTATAGGGTGCTTTAAAACTACAGTTAATTTCCATCAGTAACACAAGCAGAATCACTATCTGCTTGATGGTTTAAAAGTATTCGCACATTTCTCCTGAAAGGGTTAAGCACTACTTGAAACATCTGCTATACAGAAAGACTCATCACTTATTTGAATAAAGTATATCCGACGATTTTAATTTGTCTGTGTGATTAGTTTTTTCATCTGTGTAATAATCAGGAAAGCTTCTTCCTGATTATTACACAAAAGAAGCTACTTATCAGGAAGCATTATTAACATTCAAGATGAATGCTAAAGGTTAGCAACTGATTGCCACTGTATATTTGTGCAGGTTAATTGTTGACTAAATTGAATGATGCTGTTGCGAATGATCATCCCTCAGTAAAAGGGAACATGAATTAAGGGATCAAACTTCTCTTAGAGGAAACTACAGGGAGCCTGAACCACCCATGCAAATGATCCTGGATTAGGTGTTAAATTGAGACAAATACATTGGAAAGTTTTAAATTTAAGTGTAAATCCTTTACATTGTATCACAGTCATTAAAGAAAATCTGACCTTCCCTCCCCTTTATTATTTGTTAGAAACATCATCTGGCTAAAGTCGCAGCCTTTGTGTGGGAGGAAAATATTGCTTTTCTTATTTGTCTACACAATTGGGAAAAACAAAATCCATACTTAATTTAATGTAGTACTCATAATTTTTTCAGGAGGCATTATTTTTAAATTACACATCTCAACTGTGCTGAGTCATGCACATAGGTGCGTAAGCTCCGACAATCTAGGACTTTTTACAAAGTTCCTCTCTATTCAGTCCTGCTATTAGCCAATCCCATTTCTCTCTGCCAGCAGAGTCTGTATCGGTGGCCATGAGAGAACACAAGCTGAATACTGAACACTGAGGCTAATGAGGGAACCAAACTGAACACGGGCCAACTCAGCCCACACAAACATCAGGCCACACTACAGTAAAAGGCTTTCAGATTTTAAGTAATGAAGAAATACATCATATTCTCCAGCAGATTTCAAATGTAATGGATAAATAAAAAAACTTTATTTACAGTGCAATAAATCAGAATGATTGTTCAACTAAATGCGTCCACAAATTGCTATAAATCGGTTTAACCAGCACAGAAACAGCACAAAAAGAAAACAGAAACAAATTCAGCAATGCATGTGTGGCATATAAAGTATGACATAGACACACAGGGATGGTCGTATCTTCGACAACACAGGGTACTGTAACACCCCACATAATGCAGTACCCATCAGAGCAGAGCATGTACCAGAGCCAACAGCACACTGTCAAAGCTGCAGAGCACATTATGAAACTATAACTCACTGCTTTTAACACAATTTTCTCATAGACTCATTTATAAAAACTAACAAACAATTATGTCCTCCTAAATGAAGGGCATGAGGGCACAAACTTTAATTCTTTATTGTGCGACTCCTTGACTGAAAATAAGTGAGCCTAAAGCAGACCAACCACCTCCTTTTTATGGTTCAGTAAGAAAGGGCAAATGTTACAGCTAACGGTATCATTATTATAAGTAGATGACAATTTAATACAGTCTACAGTTAATGAGGCTGCTGGAACTGGTTTGATTGAAGATTGAAGAAGATAATTATTTGAAAAAAGAAAGCGGTCCTGCAATTTATTTCATACAACACATAACTAAGAAACAATTTGAAAGCAAACCAGACAAATAGCTAACACAATAAAGAAAATGAGATACAAATACAGATTAATAAAAGGCATAGTGCATTAATGCTTGGATTAGAGCTGAACCACTAGTACGACATGACCACAGCCTGCGAGGAGGCTCAATACTGGTTAGGGTAGAAGGTGTCAAAACATCAGTTAAGATCATTGTTAATGTTAATTATTTTTTTCATCATCAGAGATGTTCTGACTCACATATCCAAACAGACTTCCAAAAAACCACCTCATGTACTGTACTTCAGTGTGTTTCTCAGTGAAAGACTTTAAAACGTCAGACATCTTTTTAACTCAAGCTGACAGTCAAAACATAAATCCACTTTCTGACAGACACGTTCATTTAAATTCCCCCTGCCTGTAAGCACATCACTGTGATGACTGCCACAAAAGCATCAGTGACCTTTCCTATACAGTGGCATCCAAAGATTAGTCAGCCAACGCCTCAGCCAGAATCAATACACCCCCTGAGCCATCCACCGCTTTGAAGATCAGACACCTTACCTCCATTCCTGCCTCCTGCCTCTTGAACGCCTGCTGTCCAGCGGAGTGTGTGAGCCGTGTTTCATCTGCGAAAGCAAATGTTTAATTCCAGCTTGAACAGACTGTTAAATACTTTGGTCCCTAACAGGTGGGTCCTTTGATAACCCTAAAAATGGAAAGGTTAATGGACTTCCGGTTTTGCAGAATGTAAGGATTAAATATTTTCAGGCCTCTACAGTGACAAAAGAAACCATGAGTGCATAAGAAGAATTAAAGTATGCTCTGACAAGATTAATCTTTCAAAATGAGTCTGCAGTATAAAGATCTTTGCAGTCTGAATCTGCCTGTCTCTTTCTATGTTTGATTGGCAGTCACTCTCTTGTGCTTTGAAAAGTCTCTAATACTGCCTCCCTTCTGATTTTTCAATCGCAGTCTCTCTGTGAATACAACTTGTGACCTATCAATCACACTCTTTATACTGACACATTAAATGTAACTTGCAGGGCACACAATGTTTCAAATGTTACTCTTCTGATAATTTTTCTGGGCAAAAATGCTGGTCTCATTAGTTACAGTCTAATTCATCTGTCTTTCCTCTTCCGGCTGTGAGTTGTGGCAGTGATGGTTAGAAAAACAGTGCAAAACTTAACAGCTCTGATTAATGAGTTTCTCTTTGCTTCTGTGAAACTCAAGCCTTCTGTCTCTCGAATTATTTACTCCACTTCTTACTCACTCGTTTTCTCTCTCAGTGTCGAATCAGATGTGCTCTCTAATGCACAATCTCTAGCAACAGTACAGGGGGGAAAAAATGTCTTTACAATGTAAAGAGGAGGACCAAGTTAATTGGCTTCCTCTTCGTGTGCTGGAGGGTTTCTTCGAAAGTTAGCAGATTTAATGCTCCAAGAAAATTCTCCTGAGACATGCACTTATTTTTGAAGCTTGTAGCCTTTCCAATCAAAACAAGATATAGTGCTTGTTCTGAGATGCAATATAGCTTATACGTCATAGGCTATATTGTTTTTATTTTTTGGTTTTCCTCTTGCCCATTTTATCGAAAGACTAAAAAATGTAAATAAATGCCAATACTGCCATTGATGTGTGTATACATTACCATTAAAATGGAACAAGGAATTTGAGAGTTATCAAAATAAGAGGGAATGTAAGAATAAAATACCAGCGAGGCAATTGTCTGTTAAACATAACCCTGAAGCTGTATCTATCTACATATACAATTTAGCTAGAAAGTCTTTGTAAATATAGCCAGGGTAATAATAAAGAAGGAAACCCCAGCTTAAGCCTTTGGTAAGGTCTGTATGTGTGATATGTAGGCCTAACCAATGGAGGGCAGTAGAAATCGTTTTCAACAAAACCGCACGTAAAAGAAGAAGAGACTAGAGAGGTACCACCAATGGCAACAGTATTGGAACAATCAGACAAAGGGAAGACATTTATTCAGAGGGAAATAGATCAAGTGAAATACAGAGGGAGCAACAGAATAGAGGAGGTCGTAATGTTCAGGTTAAGAATTGGTCACAGTAATTTAAATAGCACTCTACATATCATTGGAAAACATTCATCTGGTCTTTGTGAGATATGCAATCTAGCAGAATGAAAATGTAGGTATTAAATGTAGAAAGTATGCAGCACATAGACATATAACATGATGTCAGAAATGGAGAGAGAGAGAGAGGGACTCGTGAGAAGAGATTTCAAAAGTATTCTGGAGTGTGGGGGAGAGAGGCCGAAGATGCTTGTTTAAATATCTCTTGAGAACAGGTTTGTTGAGGAGGATTTAGGAATGTGAGTAATAATTAAATCCAGCAGGTGGCAGTAATGCAACTTTTTGGATGCCAGCTGCCAATAAAATCCACAGAAGAAGAAGAAGAAGGAGGAAGAGGTACCACCAACACAAGTGACAACATGGGAAATGACAAGGTCGGTGTCCTTAACTTTGTGTTTTAACTTTCTATTGGACGCTTTTGACGCTGCAGTATTATAATAACTACTCACCTTTTCGTTCGTAGTTCATGAATTAGCATTAGATGCTAACGTTGGCTGATGAAGAAAGGCACTTTGCAGGCAGTCCTGTTGAGTAGCTTAGCAGAGTTAGCATAAAGCTAACTTATTGACGAGAAGTCGGATAGTAATAGTCATAGAGTCACATCATTGTCAGGTGTTTCGTGTCATTTCCCTGACGTAAACATGAGGTTGACTAACCTAGTGAGAGAGTGGTCTTGCACATCTGTATAAATGTATTGAATAACCATACTAGTGTCATTTTTTTTTCCATTTAGAAAACCCTGGTTAGTGACTCTAACCTATCGTTGTGTGTCTGCTTTGCATGTGTATACAGAATCCTCTGGGCCAGCTCAAAGACCTGGTGGAGCTGAAGGACCAGCTGGAAGACATCCAGAGACGGATGGAGGATGAGATACAAGCTGGGGTTCCTCCAGTAAGTCTCATACAGCCACTTCAATGTAGATTATTTGGTTACTCATCCTGTAAAGGGGCAGTATGTAGGTTTGGTAGAGGAATTTGAAAGTTGGAGAAGTGTACTGATTCTGTGGCATATGTTCGTAACTCTATACACACACTTACCTTCAGAGGGAAATCTGGTCCCTGTAACACTGTTTGATGATAAAAATGCAACGCAAAAATTTATGGTGGGGGGCCCGCAACAGTGAAAATGTAACTTTTAAAGAGGTCGTATTATGCTCTTTTTAGGGTTCGTATATTTAATCTATGTAAGTATGTTCACAATAGATAAAATAAAATAAAAAGTGTCTGTTTTCATGAACTGCCGCGCCATGCACCGGCTCGCTTCTGACTCTCCAAGGCTCTGAAGTGCCCACGTTCAGAGTCCCCACGTGTGCCAAGTCTGGACACTGGACACAGGACACAGGACACTTGGAAAACACACTAAAGAGCATATAAAACCAGAAAAAGCATAATATGGGACCTTTAAGCTCTAAACAGCTTTCCAGGGATTACATTTTTCTATGAGTAGAGTTGGTGTATTCAGTTCAGAAAATAGAGCATAGAATTGTTTACATTCTCCAACTTTAAAATTTCACCACCACAACTCCATAGTGCAGCTTTAAGTTTGTTCACAGACAATGTAGTTTTATTTAAAAAAATAAATAAAAATTGCATACAACTGCTCAGTCTACACAGACGCACAGCTAATCTCTACTGTCCTTTTCTCCTTAGGGTGGCAGTTTCCTCGCCTCTCCTTTCCTGAAGGGTTTTCTGGCCGGTTACGTTGTTGCAAGGCTACGCTCCTCGGCACTGATGGGTGTTGTTGTTGGAACCTGTACAGGAATCTATGCTGCACAAAATTATGCTGTTCCCAACATTGAAAGCACAGTCAAAGACTACATAAGCAACCTGAGAGGAGGGAGCAAATAAAAAGAATGGCGGAAAACTGAAACGAAAACAAAGGAGGGGGAGAAAGAAAGCGCTTCATAAGAAGAGCGTGCCGATAGCGCTGCATACGGGAACAGATATGTATTTCAAAGTTAAAACTTCTCATAAATTATTGTCAACTTCCCCATAGATTATCATGTTGAAATTATAGAGTAAGGTTAACATATTTGTTCATGTTTTTTTTAAATTCATTCAGAGGAATTAATAATCTGAACACATTTGTGTTTAGACTGGGTGTGTGGATAACATGTATATTGATAAAATGTATGTTAAAAGAAATACAATTCATATTCTTGCCATTATGGTCAATAATGGAAATTAAGACAAACTGCCATCATTAATATCATCATGCTAGCTGCAATAATCAATCTCTGACCTCCAAACTTAACCTGAAAATGTATTGCTACATACAGAGACCAACTAGTATCCACATGCACAGGCTACCTGTGTTAGCTATTTTATCTCCCTGTAAAAAGGAGGTGCACTACAAAGCGACAAACCACATTTCTTTGGCTCCTCAGACAGATGGGAGATTGTTGAGCTTTTTATATGACAGATTTGCATAAAAATGGTGCAAATGTGTAAAAGAATAGCATGTGAGTTTTAGAAACATGTTGTCTTCTGCCCTCTAGTGGTCAGAAATTGGTTATAGCAGTCACAGCTAATTTGCTCAGGGTTTGATGGAGCATGTTTAAATTTGTCTCACCTTACATCCCATGATGCTCTTCAGTGTAAAACCTGCCCGACTTGTACTGTACAGTTTCCACATTGTTTGCAGGTGTCAGAGCAAAGGTCCCGATATCTTGTGATCTCTCTTGTGATCTGTCTTTACGGGCACGACACACCCTCCCACCATGTTTCTCAAATGTCACTTTGTAGTTGGTATTTTTCTTTTATATTTGAAGTCCTAATCCCTGTAGCAGTTCATAAAAAACACTTTTCAAAGAGCTGTCACTTTTATTACCATAAAGCTGACAGCAAAAAAAAAATCCCATTTCAAGAAACTACTCCCCAAATGTTTGCGTATTCCTCCTTAACAAACTCCTTCAGACATCAAATGTATGCCAAAGTGGAACTTGTATTTAAAAAGGACTTTAGGATATGGTTTAAATTGCGTTTTGGAGTTTTTAAAAGATTGCTTTAAGTGTGTCTGTGTACATTTCTTGTGTGTTAAATGTATTTTTAGAGTGCCTACTCTGGTTGGACTTGATAAAATCATCTCATGCCATGTGTTCAATAGCCTCTTCTGATTGGATGAGGCTGCCTTTCTCATATGCTGGAACCTAGTTGATTATTTGCACTTGTATGTGTTTTAGGGATTTTAAACTTTTACTTTGTCTTACAAAAATCTTTTCATCCCTAGTAATATCCAAACCTTTTAAAGACAATTAGCAACATGATAATTTTGCTTATGCATCATGTTTTGATGAGTTCTGCATACTGTACAGATATTTCCCTCCCCTTGTCTAGGGAGAGAGAGATTTAGTCTAAAGAATGGCTACATGTCAGTGTATGTCATAAATGAAAATGATGCACAGCACTGAACACCTAAAGGGTCGCTCACTTCATTAGCCTATATTCAACAATAGAAGTTGAATTGTCATTTGGTGGTTAGATATTTCACATCATTACGCAAATATTTCAAAAAGATAAAAGAGCTTATGATTTTAAAACTTTTCTTCTAAAACTTTTTTTTTTCAAAGACAAATATATTCTTATCAGAGGAAAGAAATATAAAACTGCACTAAGATATTTTAAAATGATAGCAACAGTAGGTAACTGAGGTATTCCTTCGCTGCCAGTGAAAAGATTGCACAATGTGTAATTTGTCAGGCCTGTAACAGGCAGACAAGTAAAGCCATAAAGGGTGTTTGTGTTCAGATTTATGTTTTAATATTTACTTTGACTGGAAAGCATGCTGGGAAACTATAAGTACTGTGGTTACTGGAACCCCCAAAAAACTTGTGCCTACTGACAATCATTCTGTAATTGTCCCTGCTTTGCATGCTTCAAGTTTTTCAGTTCAGTTTTTTGTTCATGTTTTTTGCATGCCTTCTCTCTTTTTATAAAGAAAAACACAATACGTTTATTTGAAGACTGTATGCTGTGGAATATAGAGGTTGACGGGTACATTGATGGGAGAGTTCATTTCACTGTCCAATGCAACTTTTTTTGCTGTCCTTTGTTTTCACTCATGCACATCAATGCAGAAACACTCAAAATCCAACTGTGTAGTATTCAACTTCACAGTTTGAAAATGTAATAATACTGAAAAAGAAAACAAACCAAAACTGTCTTTATATGGTTTATTTTAGTCTCTCAAATAAATGGATAAAATACACTTGTCTCAAAGCTTGATTATTTCTGGTTTACTAATTGTGTTAAAATGTGAGACAGTTCTTTTAAAGTCACAGCACCCTCCCTTCAGCTTCACCCACACATTTAAGATCCTGCTGACTGCTCTCTTTATCTGAATATGTTTTAAAATACCTGTTGAAGGGCAGTGGAAATGCCAATGTTTTTAACATGCTAAAGTCCACATTTCTTAATAAAAAATTATGATCTGCCCATGATATATTGATTTTCTGTTTTTTTTTTAAGGAACTAGGTGACAAGTTTATTTTAGACAAAACTGGCTGAATCATCATTTGAATAAAACCGTCAAGTCTGGAAAACACAAACAAACTATTGTATCACTTTCAACTCTAGAAGCAAAAAAAGATTTGATTAAAAGCAAAAGTTCTATGTCGATAATAACTGCCGTTTAAACCCAATTAACTTATCATTTAATATAAAATGTTGGTGATTATAAGTTGAAAAAGTTGTTGCAATGTCATCATTTGGACTGCTGTTGATCTGTTGCTGGTCTCTGGAGGAGATCACATCAGCTTCAACTATCCAGGAAACAGGAAGAAGAACACAAACAGTAAGTTAATTCCTGTTTTTGCAGCAATGCATATTTCCAATTGAAAATCTCTTTCCAAAAGTATTCAACCAATCACAGTATGAAAAAATTACTTTTGGCCAAATGAAACTTCATTGGAGCAATAACAGTAATCTATGTAATCATAATCTATATAAAGTACTGCTCATAGATATTTGTCTATGAATACAAAATGAACAGAATGAGCCCCGTGTGTGTACTCACCACAGTTTTAGGCAGCAACTTCAGGCAGAGAGAGCACTTTGCTTCGGCCGCCTACAAAGACAGAAATGTGGTCTTCAGCAATATTTCATTTTCATTTTATATCCAGGATTCAAAATCATTGTTCTTTTGATTACAACAAATGTTTCAGTTCTTGTTTAAACTCTGCTCCATCTGAATCCAAATGAAAGTACAAAAAGTAAAAGACAATAGCAGCTTTCGGACCGCAGGAACTTCTTCATAATTCTAGGAACTGTTGAAACCCTCCCCCTTTTTTATTGATTCCACACCGCAGGAACTATGAACTATTTTAGTTCCTAGAGCCCCGTTTAGAGGAACCTTTTTAGCTCCTGCCTCAGAGTAGGTACTATGGCGGTGCGAATGCAGACAGAAAGAAGTCCCCATGGTGTGTAGTTCTCAAGGAACTCCATAGTGGATAGTTCCTCTTGAAAAGAACAGTTTGGTCCGAAAACACCATAACATTTTTATTCAGAAAGTGTAATGTACACTACGTCAAAATTTTTCATTGAAAAGTTATTGTGAACAAATTTAGAATCAGCACCAAACATAACTGTTTGTTCCCGGTAACAATATAAAATATATTTGTCTTTATCTGACTTCATGCGCGGTAACTTTGTCTCACCAATGAGGTAGTTTGCACCACAGCTGGCCGCTCCTTTGGTCATGGATCCAGGGATCTCATTGCCGCTAGCTTGGTTCACACACCAGCAGTTCCCCATGAAGCACTGCTGGGGGCGGTAGAGACCGCGCTCATCACAGCTGGGGCGGAAACCTGGCACCAGTACAGTCTTCAAACCAGACGCCTCCAGCTGGCACTCAGTAGCCTCTGGTGCTTGAAAATAAAATAAATCTACGTTTTATCTGTCAGATAGTAAGAGGTTTGGAAAAACCAATGAAGATGATGTGCATCTTTAGTCAGAACTTTTATTTATACATATAAGCATACAGTGAATATGTAAGGTACATACCATCTTTTCCTTGGGCCGTGGTCGAAGTTTCCTGCAATCCATTAGTAAAAATAAGAATGTAATAAATTCAACACCTTGCAAGAATTCTTCAAGAATACGATGGAAAACATTCCACTTAGGAAAAATACAAAGAGTATTAGTGTCGCTTTATTAAACGGTTGTTTCTGCATTTTCAAACCTGGACCATATTTTTTTATTTCTGCATTTTCAAACCTGGACCATATTTTTTACAAATGTTTCGTCATAATGTCTCAAAGGTACAAAAACTTTGGAACAGGACGAGTACATCACCTAAGTCAGCAACCTTGAAACAGGCGGTAACTTCACCCCAGATTGTTGTTTTAAGTGTCAAAAATGAGAACAGTATGGAAACAGAGAAAGCCCCTTTTATTAAAGACCAAGATGCGTTAAGTTAAACCATTAACAGAAGTCAAGCACAAAACATATTACTGCTATTTAATTGACAACTACAGAAATACGACAAAAACTTCTAACGGCAAATTGGCCGCAGAGGATTATTTTTGGTTACTGCAGCCTGTTTCAAGACTGCTGGATGAGGTCATCTAATGGTTCAATTCCATTTTGTTTTGTACCTATTAGTCATTGAGACATCTAAATGTTTTAAGATGGGGGCCATGTTTAAAAATACCTGAACTCCTGTGAGGAACTGTCTGTCTGCATCTTGGTACATTGGCGCCCCCTGTGCACCAAGGGATACATCTAATCTCTGTGTTGGTCTCGTCCTGTACATGTTTGTTTCCTGACGAATAATCTCATCCTGCATCCTTTAACAGTTGAATGAGTCACTCACTGTGATTATTTTTATCCCATTGAAAATGCAAAGAAAGGGTTTTTGGCAGCGTGCTGTGAACAAGTTAGTTGGACACTGTGGCTGCAGTTACAGACATTCAAAAATAACCATTTAGTCATTTGTGGCCTTAAAGGTCATAGAGTGGCATCATAATACATTTCTGTTTGTAGTCTGTTTCCCAACCAGCTAAAAAATCCTCACAGGAGCTTTAACTAACCTTTAAAACTGGATTTATCCTATATCTTGACATCAAATTGAACACTATACTGCTATACTGAATCAGTTATGCTCATCAGTATCAGCATCTTTTTTCATTGATAACTAAAGCAAAAGAAATGGGTATTGTCCTTGTTCAGTATTGAACAAAAATATTCACTAAATGAGGATGTCATGGTATTTTTAAACCCACTTATCAACATTGGAATCTGTCATTGGTCTCTTTTACCTCGTCCGCTGAAACATCCAGCATGTCAGACAGAGCATTCATTGGCATGTGCATCCTCATGGGACCTGAACCTACAGTCAAACAGAGAACGATTGTGTCAAAGGAAGAAAAAATAGTACACATGAAAAGATCTAAACAGAGATAAATTGCTGTATGAATCCACACTGATAAAACTGTAAAGTCAATGGAGACCAATACAACCTGTTCACTTTGCACAGATTGAATTGCTCCTTTAATACATTTGTTTCAGGTTATATTTAGTGATGTTTTCCGTCTTATCCTTTCTCCAGATGGAACCCAACTCCCATGACAACCCATTTAAAGTGTTGTGGAGTGTAATACTTTTACATTTCGAAAAAAAAATAAAGGAAGACAGTTTTGGGCTTGGTCTTCAGCCATTCATTTTTAAAAGTCTAATGAATATATCAAGTCAGTTTTGATTTGAGTGACATTTAGCATTTTCTGTAGCTGTTCACAAGATGGCAGACTAATGAAGTTTATCTTTGCAGCAAGAGACATTCTGGGAAATCCTAATGATATCTGAATCAAGTTTATCCTCCTCACTAGATCTCCCCTTCATCAGCTGAGCCTGCAGGTTGTTGTTCTGCTCCTCCAGAGATTTGATGTCGCTGCCCTGGCTGAGGAGGAAGTACGCAACCATTGCCTGGCCCGCAATCAGGATACAGGCTAACAGGGTTAAACCTGCAACCTTGTAGGCGCGGGATGGACGGCCACTGCAAAGCAAGGGGAGAAGAGAGGAGGTAGAGGGTTGTAGAGAAATAAAGAAAAAAAATGTTTTACACTGACATACTGAGTGGGAATCAGAAGGAAGACAAAGCATGAAAGGGAGGCGTTTTAAACTGTCTGAGGATCGGTATATTGCCACCTTCCCTGGTATCTTCTTTTAATTTGATAACAAAATGTGTTTAAAACAAAAAGGAGATACAGAAAAAAAGCAATGAACCGAAAATTGAAAGAGTAGCTGAGCAAGTTAGACTAGAGTTAGGCTGATTGTTGGCTGAGGAACTGAGAAATCCGAGTCATCAGCTAAGTGATGACGTCAACTGTTGTCAAGCAGACACTTCAATGAAAGTTTTGGACTTGTACCCTTCTTTTTCTATCTCTCTGAGACCTTGTATGAAAATGTACATTTATTAAAACAACACTGATAGCTATCTCAAATCACTTAAGCGCTCATTCCAAACCTTACCTTGACCTTAAATCATTAAGTAGCCTACACTCTTGTTTTAAAAATAAAAACAAAAGATTATTGTTAACTCCGATAAACCAAAATTATATCAAACATCCAACAGCAACTTTAAATATTCAAAAGCATTACAACCTAAAGGATCATATCCTTGTAACAAATTTCATTTTCTAATTTTCTAATTTTTTTTTTGTGTTTAACTTCCTCATTTTTCAGCCAGCCATCGCTCCACATTCTTTATGAAAATATACAGTCGGAATGTAAAACACAGTTTGGCACACCATCATTTTTGACAGTCCCTGAATTATTTTTAAACATAATTGACTACACAAACCAAAAAAAGTTTGAAGACTCTACTGCTTGATTTGACGAAGATTCATCGAAATCAAAGGCTGATTAGAGCTTCAGAATACATTGGAGAAAAAAAGTCAAGAGGAGCAATGTGTTGGGTGTACAACCTGAATGATAAAATAAAGGACATGTATATTAGCAAAGGGGTTAAGAAAACATGATTGATACCAACAGTGTTTTGTGTTACCATAGCGACAAACATGCTTGGACCCCAAAAAGATGGAATAAAAAACAAGTTCATATTCTCACCCCTGTGCTGGTTCATTGACGGCTGTCTGCTGGCTGGGAGCTCCAACGAGAGGCTGGTACTGAGTCTCTGGGTCAGACATCTTTCCAAAACTTGTAAACACAGACACAACAGTCAAAGTGTGTAAACACAACAAATATAATACTGATACAAAACTCACACTTACAATGCATACTCAATGTATATGAGATATATGCACATACGAGCACACACACACACGAATAAACGAATGAACAAAGGAAAATACCTTTTTTCAGCGTGGGTTACAAGCTGTTTCACAAGTATCAATGACCGAATTTAGTCAGAGAGTAACCTTTAAGGTTGAAGGAGACAGGAGGAACTGAAAGCAACATGCGGGGAAAACCCGCACGCAGAACTTCGACGAGTAAATCCTTCTCTGGATGGACGTTTTTAAAGATTTATTTCCTGATTGGTTCCTAATGCTGACGCATCATCTGTTACCAGGAGAAGAGTTCAAATACATTCTGCTAAACCTTTTTATATGTATTACCGAAAATATTGGTAAAGGTTATTAACTTGGAATGTAATGTTTGTTCTCGTGGAAAATCATACAGGCCTACAGAATGACGGCTGTTAATTTTATGTAGGCTTAATAAAGCTAATAATTTCAATAGGAAAAAACATATTATTAAATGTAAATAAACTTAATCCTAATGCCATTTAAACAATAGGCTATATAAAACAGAAGAATAGGCCTACAATTATTGATTCTATAACCCCAATATGATATTTGAATTATTAATTGATGAAACATGTACATTTACCAATCATAAACACTACATTAACCACTGACATTGTTTTTAAATATCAAGAATAGTGTTTTGGTTTTAGTAGATTATAGCCTATTATTTCAAGTAGCCTACTATCTTAATGTCTTGGTTGAGGGACGCAGATGCAGTTGTGTCTTTCTAATTAATTTAGAGTTAAATTATTAATGTATAAGGATTGGTAATGCCTTAAACACTATCTCTTCAACTTATTTTTGTTTGATCATAGATCACGATCCTCCAGACACCAGCGTTTAGACAGTTTGTTTACATGCTTTATCATTATCATGTCTTTTTCATGAAGCAAGAGCAAAAAAAGTTACATGGAATAATGACAATGTTCTTTGATATTTCTTTGAAATAAATGTTTCCATATTGTGACCATTGGATCTTCTCTCATCTGTCTTTTCTTTAGGCCTATATGTACGTAGCCTATAGGCTTATGAGATCATAAATCCAGACTCATTAGGTCTTCTCAACTCATTCCATGACCTATATTTCTTAAAATACAGCTAAAGAAGTTTTTGCTGTTCCCAAGCAGCCTACTTCAGAATCAAAATCTTAATAATTCTCCTAAATGTGTTTTATTGTTTTTCTTTTTTTAACCAGAGGAATTATACCCTTAATGGGCAATATATCCATGGAGATAAATATTGTACATTTGAAAACAAAGGTGTTATTTTAGCACAGATGCAATAGAGAACTGCAATGAATTAATTTTCCTACCTAAAGGGTTAAATTAACAGCCTTAACAAGCATATCATAAAAACAACCAAGCCTTGTCGAACTATTTTATAGTGGTAAAAAAAGAAAGTCCATCAAAAGAAGATTCAAGGGAATTCTGACATTTGAGAAGGAAGCGAGAGCACAGAGGCGGCTCAAGGGGAATTTGCAAAGGCAGTTGAACAATTACAGTATCAAATCAAGTTCCCCCTCCTCTTGTGTGAGCTGGACTTTAGAAAAACGGTGCGTTATAGACATGGGCGGTTCTAGGCAGCGGCCAAAAGGGGCCAGTGCCCCTGTAACACTGAGCTCCCCCCCAGCTCTGAAGCAACAAGAATCATTTGGTTTTCAGTACAATAAACATTTTGTTTTTTTAAGTTAGATCATCTTTGTCTTCTTTTGTCCTGGGCTGATTGTGCCTTTCTGTTAAAACAACTGGCCCCAGCCTGGCCCCCTCAGTAAAAGTGATCTAGAACCGCCACTGGTTATAGACACAAAGCGTCCAGTAACACTTTGTATTCTTAATTTGTATCCGAAGGACTGTATGCTAAACAGCAAAGAGAAGAAAATAACTGACTTATGTTTAGTACAAGCTAGACGCATGATTTCTCTTTGCTGGAAAGACGTCAAGAGCCCTTCGGTTGGTCGCTGGTTGAAAGAACTATCAGCATGCCTTGTCCTTGAAAAGTTAACATACACAATGAAAACGAAATCAGCCAAATTCAAAGAGATCTGGAATCCCTTCCTTGCATTCTTAAAGGACTGTGAAGTTGGAGAAACTCTGGTAACTTGAAGGTGATATGTCCCTAACTGTCGTGATGTGACGCTAAGCTGTGTATGATTACATAATGTCGTTACCGAGTTTTTGCGTTTTGTTTTGTCTTCAGGTCTGTCTTTTCTTTAATTATATATTTTCCCTTTGGGGTGGGGGGGAGTGGATTTTTCTTTTCTTGTTTTTAATATAGTTTGACTGTTATATGCTTTGTTAAATGTATTGTATTTTTTGTAAAATGTAAAAACTCAATAAATACATGTAAAAAACAAAACAAAAAAACAAAGCGTCCAGTATTCCCAGTGAAACGTTAATTGGAGTTTTTAGCTCAACTAGTCCTTTGCACTCCAGTCCAGCAGGTGGCGGTATGTGTGCTTTGTGAAGAAGCCCTTTACGCCTTTTGCATGTTATCATTGGATGAACTCGTACTGTTGCAGGAAGCAGGTGTTCCTGCTACAGTTTCCTACCGAACACCCGCAAATAATTCAACAATTTAAAGGTAAACAATAACAACTAGTTACTTGGGCGTAAGGCTGTGTTTAAAAATGCGGGAGTGTGTGGAAAAGCAACGTGTAATTCAGCCAGCTAACTTCACTAGCGGAGGCGCGCCAAATTTGAAAATTAAGCTAACTTACCTTTGTGATGATATGGTAGATAGAAAACTATTGATATTTAAACACTGCCTCAGGTTTCCTCCCCTGCTTATCTGTAGCGTGTCAGTTAGCTACAAACACCTTTAACTATCTTAGGCTACGTGTAAGTAGAGTTAAAATGACGGATACAATTCAACCAGTTAATGTTGACTTAAGACTTTATGATAAGCTGGTGCAGCTTCAAAGTGCAGAAACTAACCTGAACTCTTGTCTCACAGATGATGCGAAGACACCGAACAACAGCTGCCAAGGCTGTCGAGTATAAAGACTGTGACACCGACCTGTAAGTGATTTACATTTTTTATATAAATACACTTTTTGCAGGGTTTTCTTTGTGTTCAGTGTGATGTTTTGGTCTGTCTTGATTACAGTTTGTTAGATACTTAAGGATTAATCAGGAAACAAACATACTCAATGTCATATTTTAAGATAATATGCGAGACAATACAATTAGGTTGTTAAATTGATTAGAAACACTAGTCCATGTATGACACAGGGGTGCAAACTTGTCACCTTTCTGGGGGGGGGGGTTGGGAGCATGGGTTTTTGATGTTTCACTGAAACTTTATCAAAAAGTTAAAACAGAACATAGATATAGACAAGCAATTGTGTGTTTCTTATTGTTTGCACTGCTTCTTTAGTCGGTCTGAATGCTAAAATAGTTTGTAAATTCACTCTTCAATTCATTTTTAAAGCTAATATTTAAGAAAAAAAGAATCTTCCGGGGGGGGGGGCATGCCCCTGGGGTTTGGATCCATGTCACCTTTTTCATCCCTGATGAGTTTGCACCCCTGATGACAAGTGACTAGACCAGGCACATTAGGGGAAACAATAGACAGGCATCAAGCATGCTGATTTTGCACTTTGTTCCTACTCTCCCTTCAGGTCCTTCTCACAGACATTGAGTAGCGATGAGGATTTTGAGGAATGGAGGCCGCAGGAGCCCAAACCAAAAGTGCCCCGCAAAACTGCCACAGCCCCTTCAGCCTTGGAGAAGAAAGCATCTGCCAAGAGAGCTACTAAACCAAAGGAGCCCAAAATACCCAAAGAACCCAAAGTGCCTAAAGAACCTAAGCCAAGGGCACCACGCAAGCCTGCAGCAGAGCGAAAAACTAAGGCCACCAAAGTCCTGAAGGATTCTGGTGCATCTGGGTTGGCTGGAACAAAGAGGAAAAATATAGAAGAGGGCAAAAATAAGGCAGGAGAAAAACTGGCAGATGGTCCAAATGTACTGAAGGAGGACGAGAGTGGGCCAAGTGTTCGAATAAAGGAGGAGGTAAGACTGATGGCTATTTGAGTTAAAGTTTACCCGCACATACACTTATTTGCTACTTTTCCTTAAACTTTGTATACTGTTGTCTGTTAGAAATACTTAAATAATCTTAGTTTATTGAACTATAAATCCAGTCATTTTTTTGCAGAGATGTTGTTCTTTTTTATAAAACAAACAAAGCTCTCTTTTGTGGTTCTCTGTTGTTACTTTCTAACAAAGAACATATCACCAATATCTGTAAATGCGTCAGTCCTTTTCAATTGAATCTTTATGTCTTTTTTGTAGAGGTTGTCATTTGTCATGCCAGAAGCCCACAAGGCAGACAGATGGGCAGGTGCAGGATCCTCACTAGCTGGCCTTAAAGCAAAGAAAGAGGAAGTGGAAACAGAGGATTTCACTTTTGATGAGCCCTGCCAAAAGAAACAGAAGACCAGTGGTACCACTTTCGGACAACCAACTGCTTTACCACCATCATTGGCAAATGGTCTGAGGAATGACCTCAACATGAACTGGGACTTTATAGAGGTATTGAATGATTCGTTAGTGCATTTTATTTGAAAGTATGTGCCTATATTTTAAGTCATTTCATGACAGGGATAGTTCTTTTGCTTCACTGACGGACGCAAACTGTTCTTGCATTTACAGTTATGGGACATTTATGGGCAACATTTTTGTCTGTACTGAGGTCTTCCTCAACTTTCTGTCCCAAATAAATCTGATATATCAACCACTTTAAAAGGCTAAGGGTGGGAGTTATTTGTTTAACAATAGTTGGCCCAGGTAATTTTTAGTACACCCTTTCTTTCACAGGAGTGAAGAATCTCTGCTTTTATTTAAATACACAATGCTTGAGATGCTTCAACGGTTTGAAGTTGGCCCAACAGGGCATCCGTGACACTATGATTACCAGTTGTTAGCCACATAGCAAACTTTACGATTTTTTGATTACGTTTCTTATTTTTATGATTTCCATTTTTGGGGGCTTTTCATTCCTTTTAATTTAGACGACCGAGAAGAAAGTAGAGTAGGAAAATGTAAAAAGAGAGTGGGGAATGACATGCTGGATGAAGGGTCGAGGGTTGGAGTGGAGCCCGGGCCACCCACCCCAGGACTACTGTCTCTATACATGGGGGAAACAACCTGACCACTA